ATACACGTAACGATCGGCCGGCCGGCGTGGACTGTTCAGGCCGGGCCGGCCGGTACACAAAGGTCTACCATTGTAAGAGATCGTCATAAATGTTATGGACTTTTTTCATTATTTGCTCCCTAACTACTGCTTGTGAACAGTATGTGATCACATGTTCCATCGCAACTGGCACTGTTAAGAGTGGTGGTGTATTTCTCGTCGGAGGCCTACTGTCGGAGCCCGTCGGACCTGCCTTAAAATTGCGGAAGGTGTCGGAGACTTGACGGAAGGTGAGTCGGAGAGCGTCGAACTAGTGGGTTTCCTGATTACCGAAACATCACACTTTACAGGCTTTGGACTGGCTAAATGATTAATATTAAATCACGTACTATGATGATGATCACGTTTAAAATCAGCATGAGTACAGCTTCGTCACAAGTTCCTTTGCGCCTGTCACACATTCTTTATAAGTTACTTCGTTCAAATGTAATGGAGTAAAATGTTAACATAGGCAATCCCCACTAAATCTTGCCCATCCGATTTCAGTACATCTCAGCCAACAAAGATGCACTGTAGATCAGGCTCTGGTCACAGAAAACGTAGGCTACTACTGTACGTTTTCTGTGCTCTGGTGGACCTGGTAAAATCAAAATTTCCCTCGGATTACATTAGCTTGCGTTGTTGAGAGTAAGAACAAGAACTATCGAGGGCTTGCTAATTGAGCCATTTTTGATAGAGATAGTTAGGCTACAAGCTTTAACAAAAACCGTTATGGGGACGTTATATATGTACTCGTATGGTGAAGTGTTGTATTGATCATTAAAATTGTTCTGAAGTTGTTACGTTGACTGGAGGTTATAGCATTGACTATCAATAGTCAAAGGTTATAGGTAGTATATTTTTTAATTCAAATTTTATTTAGTAAAAATATAATTTGTTTACTTTTTTGTTTGCTCCGCTCAGTTGGCGGACCTGACACCGGACACCTAGTACAAAATACTGACTAGTGAATTGTGCTTAAATGCGGAAGATTTTATGAACGCATTTCAGATTAAATCAATGGTTATAAACACATTAATTTTGGTATTACAGTAGTTTGCGTGTTAGGTAAGAACCGTGTTTCGAATGTTTATCTGACTGTCTGTAAATACCACTGGAACGTCAATGAGGTAATGGAAATTCCAGCACGTACTTAAGATTATACTACCTTGTATGAAGTCACCCAGACCACTATCTCAATACTTAAGAAGATAACTTGGAATCCCGCCTGCTCATATTGGCATGTAGAAAAGAATGTTTGCGCTGATATTTACAAATGTATAAAATTAATTTTTCCTACAGTCACCCGACAAAGTTGGCTTCCTTGTACTGTTTATAGTACAGAAAGCTGCTAATTGCTTCATATTTATACTTTGCCGTACGGTTTATACTTTGCCGCACATCAGGATTCCAACGAAACAACACAAAACAGCGTGGTTCTATTATGCACGTAATCCGTGTACGCTTGGAAATAGGTTGGCAACACTTAAAGATAACTAGGTGGCGTTCGCAGAGGCATCCACAAAATTGAGCGGAGTCATCAAGGGTCCATATTATATTGTTTTTGTCATACTGCAGTAAAAACAGTAGTTTTTAATGTATGCGTTGCGGGTCTAAAGTAGCATTTTAAATATTTAGGGTGTAAAAATAGTTGTTAGCCTCTATGGAGTAAAAATCAGCTGTTGTCAACTCAGTTGTAAATTTCGATTGTAAACGATTGCATGTATAGAAAATATGTATCGATTCGTGCTTCGTAATCATTTTAACATAAGTTACAGTCTACAGTCTCTTCCCGTAGCATTTTAGCATTGCAGATACATTAATCCTTTCCCAAACTCAACACTGCTCACCTTTACTACTTTCTTCACCACACCCTACGTCGTGGACCTGTTTCCCTCTCTTCCCATAGCATTTTAGGATTGCAGATACATTAATGTAATTGCCAAAGACAGTTCCCACACTCTGCACTGCTAGCCTTACTACATCCTTAACCATTTACTACGTCATAGACCTGTTTCCTTCCTTTCTCATAGCATTTAAGTATTACAGATACATTTATCTAACTGCCCAAACGGTTCCCCCACTCTGCACTGCCAGCCTTTACTACTTCCTTCACCACATCCTACGTCGTGGGGCCTGTTTCCTTCCCTTCTCATAGCATTTTAGTATTGAGGATACATTAATCTAACTGCCACAGACGGATCTCACACTTTGCTGATGCTCATACTTTACTACTTCACTTCCTAAGCCACTTCCTACGTCACGGACCTGTTTTCCTCCCTTCCCATAGAATGTTAGGAATGCAGATACCTTAATCTAATCGTCATAAACAGTTTCCACACTCCAGACTGCTCGCCCTTGCTACTTCCATCACCACTTCCTACGTCGCGGACCTGTTTTCCTCCCTTCCCATAGAATTTTAGGAATGTAGATACCTTAATCTAATCGTCATAAACCGTTTCCATACTCCAGACTGCTCACCTTTACTACTTCCTTAACCACTTCATACGTCACGGACCCCAAGCTAGTGTCGTCATTTGGTTATATTTATGATCCATACCGTTACTGTTCTAATATCTGTGGAATAATGCCATTAGCTATTTCTTTATCTACTGCATTCAAAAGTCAACAGCTGATCATTTTGTCTTTGTTTATGTGTCAAATACTGCTTCCATAAGGATTACATTGAAACTATTGAGACCCAGTGGGGCGGATTCCTGAGAGACTTTTTTAACGCCATATAGATGTTGGCACTCACCGATATGGTCTTTATCACCATGCAAAATTTGAAAACGATTGATTCAGCCGTCTAGGAGGAGTTTGCGTATTACGAAATGCATAAGAGTCGACGTATAAGAGCTTCGCTCGCTTCGCTCGCTCCGCTCAATAATACTATGAGCAGCTGATTGACTATTATAACTACGATTTAACCTGTCATTTCGTGTTTATAATTTCGGTATTTCTGAACTTTCTGGACTTTTCTTTTAAACGTTTTTAAAACATTCCTACGATCTTAATAAACAAGAAAATACCTTTAAAGCATTTTTTTAGGCGTGGAAACCACTTCAAATTACAAAAACATACGGAACTATATTCTCAAAACGCGGAGCACATTTCTTGCCGAGGAAAAATAGCGGAGTGATACGGATCACGGGTACTACTTTCTCTAGTGCACCTATTTGTGTTGCCAGCTGAACCTAAAACGTGTTGTATAGTGTTTGAAAGACTAATTATTTATATGCTTTATAGTGACTGTAGGAAAAATATAATGTGTAACACGAGTGAAAAAGGCCTTTGCTGCACTCGAGATCATCTCGTAAACATTGCTCTCGTGTGCAGCAAAGTGCCACTTTAACCACTAGTTACACAAATAACTATTTCCTACAGTCACCCGACAAAGTTGGCTTCCTTGTACTGTTTATAGTACAGAAAGCTGCTAATTGCTGCATATTTATACTTTGCCGTACGGTTTATACTTTGCCGCACATCAGGATTCCAACGAAACAACACAAAACAGCGTAGTTCTATTATGCACGTAATCCGTGTACGCTTGGAAATAGGTTGGCAACACGATAATAATACTATGAGCAGCTGATTGACTATTATAACTACGATTTAACCTGTCATTTCGTGTTTATAGTTTCGGTATTTCTGAACTTTCTGGACTTTTCTTTTAAACGTTTTTAAAACATTCCTACGGTCTTAATAAACAAGAAAATACCTTTAACGTATTTTTAAGGCGCGGAAACCACTTCAAATTACAAAAACATACGGAACTATTTTCTCAAGTCGGAGCACATTGCTTTCCGAGGAAAAAATAGCGGAGTGATTCGGACCGGTACTTCTTTCTCTAGGGCACCTATTTGTGTTGCCAGCTGAACCTAAAAACGTGTTGTATAGTGTTTGAAAGACTTATTATTTATATGCTTTATAGTGGCTGTAGGAAAAATATAATGTGTAACACGAGTGAAAAAGGCCTTTGCTGCAGTCGAGATCATTCCTTAGGTAAACATTGCTCTCGTGTGCAGCAAAGTGCCACTTTGCTCACTAGTTACACAAATAACTATAGTTTTTTTTGGTACGGTCTTTATAGCTTTTTCAAAAGATATAGAGTGATGAACATTGTCGCTCACATTGTTTTTATTTAATTCTTTTAGGGTGTTGGGGCTTAATAACCCTGAGCTTGACCTTTCAAGTACCTTAGTGGCCCGTTTCGTTCTTTCAGAAACCAACAAAATCCTAAACGTATTCCAGCCAGTAACAATGGTCCTGCCTTTGTGTTACAAAGTCAAATTCAGATCTTCAAGCGTAGTAAGCGCTTCATCTAGATTGTGGGGTAGAGAGTACCTGGCAGAAGTGTTCGTAAAAGGTAATCGTCCACTATATGGGTTATGGAGTTTCATCCCCATAGTCACAAGACTGTTCTGGCATCTGTCGTCACTTGAATTCCTCGAAATTCCTCTTACCTACTAACTGAATCGTTCACTGGTTCTGGTATTCGTTTAAAACAACGATTAACTAATACATATTCAAACAAAAAGTGGATGTATGTGAGATGATTGAACTCGTATCTTTGTTACTGACTAAGTTTATAAAGCAATTGTTTAAGTCAGCTTCAGTTAAATAATTGGGTCTAGACATTTTCAGCGTTCAGTGTTTTTCTCAGGACAAAGATGGGAATTTTCTTATCATCTCCGTGCTTCTTGAGCAGTTCAGTAAACACAGTACCCCATACGTTGTGAAGAGCTTTGAACAACAAAAATACCGGTGTCTTCATAAACAGACGTGAATACTGTTTGGGTAGATGTTTGTCAAGTTCTCATTGAAAAAAATAAGGAAGGGGTATTATACTAATGTGTTACTTTTAAATGTATGATTCTGTTGTCGTGTGTTATTACGTCCATATTGTAGCACAATAAGCGATGTTTATATCTTGAATGAACTGTTGTTGCTGTGTTGTTACATTCATGTTGTTGTTGCAGGTCGGAAGTCACAGTAACACTCGGGATGTAGCACAGTATGCGCAGTGGGACCGTAAGCGCCCCCGTGCAGTCTTGTGGTTTTGGATTGTCCGCTCCCAACGCTCGCTACGCAGCTGTTCAGCTTTTAACCAATCAATTTTTGTACTTCATTGTTGAGGTAAGTGGTAAGTTCACGTACAAGTAGCGGTGTAGTAGTAATATTAATTTTGTATTAAAAGGGGTGGTTATATATATGGAGGATGATGTCCAGCAGCTAGTGGTCTCCATTACTCTATGGCGTGTGTAGTCGTAGGTATCGTCTACTAATGGTCTCCCTCCATCGCTCTATGGAGTGTGTAGGCATCGTCTACTTGTGGTCTCCCTCCATCGCTCTATGGAGTGTGTAGGCATCGTCTACTAGTGGTCTCCCTCCATCGCTCTATGGAGTGTGTAGGCATCGTCTACTAGTGGTCTCCCTCCATCGCTCTATGGAGTGTGTTGGCAGCGACTAGTGGAGTTGCCTTCATCGCTCTATAGAGTGTGTAGGCAGCGTCTAGTGGCCTCCATTGCTCTATGGAGTGTGTAGGCAGCGTCTAGTGGCCTCCATTGTTCTATGGAGTGTGTAGGCAGCGTCTAGTGGCCTCCATTGTTCTATGGAGTGTGTAGGCAGCGTCTAGTGGCCTCCATTGCTCTATGGAGTGTGTAGGCAGCGTCTAGTGGCGTCCATCGCTCTATGGAGTGTGTAGGCAGCGTCTAGTGGCGTCCATTGCTCTATGGAGTGTGTAGGCAGCGTCTAGTGGCCTCCATTGCTCTATGGAGTGTGTAGGAAGCGTCTAGTGGCGTCCATTGCTCTATGGAGTGTGTAGGCAGCGTCTAGTGGCGTCCATTGCTCTATGGAGTGTGTAGGCAGCGTCTAGTGGCCTCCATTGATGGGAAGATGCGCCGGAAGCTGACCAGTCTCTATGTCGGTCAACGACATTGCTGTCGATGATTTTGCAAATGCGATCCTCAACTAAGTCGACGGTCCACAGCCTGATTGGGCTCTTGGTTTTATGAATGAACGGCGGTTCTTGTCACCACGTACGTGTTAGTTGGAGTTGACTGGTTTCTCCAAATTGGGAATAACTATGACAAAGTGTCAAGACAGTTATATTTTAACCAAATTTATCCTGTACTACTGGGCTTTTTATTTAGGTATGTGCGTTTGATGAAGCATAAGGGCGGGAACACACTCACCTCATCTCGTTAGATTTTTTCACGGGTGTTACCCTTGGTTTTAACCGATACAATACAATACGGTATGGGACAGGTCACGCTAGAGTAAAAACGTCCGTGATCGTATTAACTTTCCTAGGAAGTTTTTCTTACGAGGTAAGGTGGGTGGAATTGTACGTGCATTTAATTCCACTGGTAGTGGGGTATTGTGGCTTAACGGCAGGATCATTTTACGATATACGATAATTTCACGGGCATTCTGGTTTTAGATATCATGTTGGGTTTTAGCACATATTAAAAAGAGGACAGTGGTTTTAGTTAATTACGTAGTGTTAAAATGTTTACATAAACGTGTAATTGTATGATCAACTTGATGCACATTTAATTTGAACAATATTTTACAAACGTTAAATTTATTTCATTTTATTTCAAGAGCATTATTTTTTGGAGTGCATTATTGGTAGTCTGTTGGCTGGCAAGTAAATAACAGTACGTTCTCTCCAAATCTCAATTAACCCCTTTATTTAAAATCCATTAACACCGAAGCTAGGGAAAGCTGTAGACCATTTCGACTGGTCAAAGAATTTTAGGAATTCTTAAGGTATCGTGGAATTTCATCTAGATTCGAGCCAGATACTGAACCTGTTCCGGTGGAGAGAATTCGGCCTTCATTGTCGTTGGTTTCTAAATTCCTCAACGTCTACGCATCCCATGTCCAGACCATCCGCAGCAGTTTTTTGCTTGATTCTAAAATGCGGTGTACTCAACATAATATGGGAAAACTCAAACATCAGATAGTTTTCACAGTACAAGTAGTACAATAATAAACGCCACCTTTTGATTGTTAGGCAGCACTATAACCTCTCAGCTACCCAGCCAATCTAAATTGTTATTACAGTTTTTGGTTATAATAGTAATCTTGTAATGCTGTGCACTGTGCATATAGCAAAAAATTTGGAAAACCATATTGGAAATTTTTACAAAGATGCAGGTGAGTTAATGAAATATTTGTTTTCAACTTGTTTAAATATATTTGTGTCAAAATCGTTCAGTTTAAAAATACAAATACAAGTTGTTAATTTTTATCGACAGCATTATTGTATTTGGTCGTGTGTTGTTGTGTATTCCTCAGCACACAAGGCAGGTACGTGCGGTCGTGTGGACGCAGACGTATTTAAAGTGACCTTACTAAATGGGACCAAGGCAGGCAGCAAGGTTCACCGCTCATTCCTCGAACATTCATTATACCATAGCTCTGAATTTAAATTGATTAAACCTAATCCTTTTAAATCATAACATGCTTGTCAAGTGGGTGCATGTCTTAAGGTAGTTCGTGTTTTTAAATTCTTCAACTAAACATCGGTAAAAACCACCTACCTACCTGTAGCTTTAACGCTTATAGGGCTACAGAATCTCAATCCAAGGAACATCAGTCGAAAACCACGTAATCAAGCATTTATATACATTAATAGACAATTATGTTCTTTAAAACATTTTTCTCAGCTCGTGTGCATCGCTGGGAAAATCTACGCATACTGTTAGAAAGGTATTCCTATAGATGTGCAGAATCTCTTATAAATTCAAATAGGCTCAAAAATAAGTACAGAAAATTAATATTAAACAACAAAAATAACATGGGCCTTACGGGTTTCCATGCTGGTGACTTAAGACGAAAAAACAACAAAATATAAACAGAAAATCTAAAAAAATGGAAGAAATTAAAATCACATGTTTTATTTACAGCGTAGGCTGAAAATAGAGAAGCATTACATATTTTTGGTATAGTTTTCGTCCACTGGACGACCTCTAGTTACACGAAAACAGTACTGTGTAGTCGGGTGTTCTTGAATTGCGCCAACTACTCCAGGGAGCCACCCGATACGTTCCTTTTGTATAATCGAGTAGGTTAGGTTAGGCTAGGTAGATTATGTTAGTATAACCATTGACAAGGATTTATAGTCAATGGTATAACACGTAAACAGGGACATTCCTTCTGTCGGCAAATCACCCCAACCTGGCTTGGGCTTGGCGCAACTAAGAACATTGTTTTAGACCCTTTGAGAGCTTGGCGCAATTAGTGCACGACCTTCATGTTTAGCGAATTCTACTGTATAAAGCCGTTGTTCCTTGGTACATATGGAACAACCATCTTGATCCTTTTTACAAGTCTGGGACCATTGAACTTGTTCGTTTTAGAGCCCACCAGGAGCAAAGGAGCAAAACATAAGACACTGATTTAGAAATACTACACAGTGTTTGGTAAAAAAAATGAAAAATAAACAATCAAATGTAACCCTCATTCTATCTATTCATGCTTTTTATTTGACGAAGAACATTTAGCTTCTCAAGAGAAAATTGCTTAGACTTTCTTTGGCATTTTAGGTTAATGTATTGCAATATTTGACAATTCGTAAGCTTCTAGGGTGACAAAAAGCTTCATATAGACAGATTTATCCGTAATTAGTCATGAAAATGTTATTATTTGTATGCTTGTGGAGGTTTAAGAAAGGCCTCGACACTCTATTATAATGTTTCAAAGGAAACTATAGTTTCATCATACAGCTGTGCATACAAGTGAAAAGATAAATATATATGTAAGAGACGTGAAGGGAGGTGCAAGCCAACATGCATAACTAGGCAGGCTCTTCGTTTGGTTGTAAAACATTCCTGAAATAAGCTCACGCTTGATTCAGCCACCGTTTGTAAAATGGTCTAACGAGACCGGCTTTATCACAGGAACTGGAAAGGATGGAAGCCAAAATTTAAGTAAAAAAATATAGTTATAGGAGTAATTAGAAACGCACTTTGAAATCAAGTAAGATAAAGACTATAGAGACTGCAATATTGTGGCAAAAAGTAATGTTATATTTAAGTAACAAAAATGCTAGTTTATTGAAGCATATTCTCGTCCACAGGTGAACTATCCAATGAACCGTCCTCTCCATATTTTTCACTTCGTTAATATTTCAGTTGAGAAATTGAGAACTGCGTTGAGTACGTTTGATGATTGAAATCCTGTCAATAGATTTAAATGTCGAGTGACTTGGACATTTTGTTTAATGCATCAAAATGATGTGGTTTTCAACGAGTTTGTAATTTTATCAACAGGGAGGTCGAAACACAGAGAAAAGGTCTGCAAACTGACAAATTTTTTTGTTTTCAAAACTTCTCATCTTGAACTCAGTATGATCATCTGACTAAAAATCGACTTGGCAACATGGTTCGCTAAACTCCATTTTATCGCCATACTTCACTTAAATTTGTGTAAAATTACGCACAATTTCGTCCCATTTCCATGATTTAATATGTTAATTTTACTTTAAACCTTTTTCTTCTTAGCTCTCTTCATGAGAAGACACTCATGTTTTTTCCGCTCTACAATTTGAGACGGAAAATCTTTCCTAGTCTCAGTGTGGTTTGATTCTACTATGAAGCAGTAGGTAGCTTGGTTTATTTCGAAATAGCAGTACAAAGGCCATGGTAAGATATTATAGTAAGAATCATTTGAGTTGATAAATGAAAGGACATTTGAATGGTGTTAGATCCTAAGCATCAGTGTCTTTGAACTCCTATGTTGTATATGCTTATTGAGTCTTCTCTTGTAACCCCGTTTAACCTTTTGCCCCAACAGTGTCTAATTAACGTTTGTTTTGCCTCAGCCCAAGTCACGAACCCGTGAACTCTACGCGGAAACATGTCGCCATCTTGCAGCTTCAGGGATGATGGACACCGAGCTCTTCGGCTTGGCGACGGCGTCCGGTAAGTTTACATTTCATACTAAAGAAGTTGTCAGTAATATTCCTACTAATAAAACACATACATTAGATAACAGATTTGTTAGATGTAGATGGCCTTGCTAGACAAGTTCTTCCTTTGGTAGACTGCACGCATCACCTAAGATTCGATTCGGAGAGGTATAGCCTACCTTCTTTGCCACCTACATAGGTCCAAGACGGCGGCGCATTGAATTCAGTGATGTTACGTCTAATGACAAGCCATACGTTTATTTGCACCTTCCCAAACTTTCTTCGTCTTTTTAGTCGGACTGGATACAGCATCAGCTGAGATGCGGAGATCTGTTGACAAGGTTCTCTTCTTCGTGACTCGTGACTTACTCCAGATTACTCGAAAGTGCAGCAAATGAAGCGTTGATTTATCTCTCACATCTCTCACTTTAGGGTGTGAGTCCCTCTCCCTCTCTGTCTACTTCCCCCATGAGAAATCATTTGCAAAGTAGTCCTGCCAAAGGTAAATCAATCAATTTGAATTAGGATTTTCTCTATTTTCCTGGATTCTTTTTACACTATCTTTCCGTTTTCCACAAGTCACGACTCTAAACACACATTGCACTCTGCGTATACGTGTGCGTGTGTGCGCGTATGCAGGTGCAACCCAAGGCCGAGCCGAGGTCGACTGCCGAGTGCTAACTACCGGGAAGGGGGGGAGGGCATCCTAAATTTCGCCCACGGTTCCCCAGCTTCTCCGATCTGATAGATGGTTGATAGTAAATTTTCACCGCGCGAGGCGAACGAAACCCCGACACCTCCTTGTGTTATGGGAATTCCTCCCGAGTATTTATTGCTTTTGATTGAAATCGAACGTTTTTTGTCCGAGGGTATTTGCATAGTTATGCCTATCTGTTGTCACGGGTAGGAATGTTGATTTTAGCTTACGTACGTTGTTATTTATCTCACCTCCGGGCTCGGGAGGACGTGCGGTTTGATTCCGATTTTCGAATTGCCTTCGCGCTGCGATCCGATTTCTCTTAATTAAATCTGGAATGCCGGTCCCCCGGCGAAAATTCCCACATGTCTGAGTTTATGCCGTTTCAGAAGTTTTCGTTACGCTCGGCGTGTCGTGTTAGTGGAACTTTAAGATTCTTAAAATACTTGATTTTTATACCAGTAGTCTTAAAATTCTGGTTGAGCTACCAGTTTACCATGATTTATACATTCGGATCGCGAACTTTACTAGTTTATGTTTATTTAAAACATGAACCTTGTGGTGAAGTCATACGGATTTTGGTCTCTTCTCTTCCAAACGCTACAATTTCAGTGTTTATGCCAAGCGTAACATTTGGACATTCGTGTTTATGCGAAGAAAATTTGGATCGTAATCGTAATTCTACATTCGACATTCGATGCTCAGAAATTATTACAATTTATTACATGTGACAGAGTGCAAATAACTCTGACTTATACAACCTTTTTACTAACATTGTTAGAATTGGACTCCAGAACCACGGGTCTGGCTCGACAACGGGTCCGTCCGTGGCGCCGCCAGTGGATGAGGTGGTATTATTAGGGATGAGTTGATTACCTCTTAAAGTCAGTTTTTTATATTCTTGGTCGTGTGTAAAGAAGTATATATTTTGGAGATTTTGTTTGATGAAGTCGATTACTCCCTATGCGTTCACGAGAAGCTTTATCGAAAGATACTTCTGAAACCTTTCACCGTCTCTATTTTATGACCGTAGTTTAAATAACAGTTTGAATCGTATATTTTTATTCAGTTTGCCACTCGCCAAGTTCCTAGATGTACGACACTTATACATGGGAATACCTTCTTGAATTTCCTTCGAAAAATAACAGTTGGAAGCGTGTATTTGTTTTTTAATTCACCAATAGCGAATATTCTACAACTGGGCTACTTGCAGAATATTTACCTTGGGTTCTCTTCGAAAATAACAGCTACAGACTTATATTGTTTTCTTTTCTTTCAATTTAACCACAAAGTTGCTATATCTGACAAACTTGCAGAGTATCAGAATATGTTCCTTATTTCCTCTCTAACACCAATTCACCACACTCAAACTCAAGCATCAACTATCAGACTACAAACATCGATGAGTCGATGACTCCCACATTGACATACTACGCCTTATCCAGTACCCCCCCCCCCCCAATTACGATAGAATTAGAACTTTTACTAGCTATGTAAACTCCTACAACCCAAAACCGCGCATTTCCCCCGGGGATTTTGAAATTTGGGCGCGCAGTTCGTAAAGCTGAGCAAATCCAGGGTTCGGAATGCTGCCGAGCGGGTCGGCGCGCCAGCCTGTTGGAGTGGACTGTACTATGTCAGCCCTCTAATAGACGAGTGGTGGGTCGGGGGGGGGGGGGGGATTGTATTTTATAATATGCCCGGCTACCGGACTTGTGCGCTGCCTCGTGGCTGGACCCGTGGGCCGCGACCCAAACGTCGGTTGCCCTTTTGTTCCCGGTTTTGGCTGCAGCGGGGTCACCGATCCCTCTATATTCAATAACAGAAATGTCTTAAGCTTTAAGCTTAGTGTAAAATATTGTTTGCTGTGATTCACTTTTGGATGCTGAAAAACGTTTTACGTTATGTAAAAAAGTGTTTTTATATGGCATTGGATTTGCCATCTATATGGACCAACTGTGGCCTGTTTGTAAAAATAATATAGATGAACAGTCCCGGAGTGTGCTGCCGTCTTTGGTATACTGTAGTAGAAATCTCATCTATATGGACCAGCCTTAGCCATATTTGTATCCAAAAAGAATTTAGTTGAATGAGCCAAAGTGTACAGCCTAAAATTCTATTTGCTCCCTTGTGTTTTTGTTCTGTGATAGTTGATGCTACGTAAAAGTCGGTATAATTTACATTGAGTACCTCCTCTTTGAGTTCGTTAACAGTTCGTTGACAGGTTAAGGTGTAAGAGAGGGCCATGTGGCCCTAACTTTGCCTGATTGAATAAATCATTTTCATTTCATTTAATTTCGTTAAATTGAGATATTCAACAAAATGGGTAGTTTACATCTGTTTCCATCAGTAGAGTAATTCAATGTTAATATTTTTTTTATTGACTAAAATGTAAATACGAAAATGGAATGCCTAGTTCCATTCATTTTCATAGGCTTACTTGCACATCTTTAGATGTAATTCAACACTTTCCTCAAACGTAATTAAAACTCTTTTTAAATGACAACACTTAAGTTGATGGTGTGGAATTTGAATTTTTATAGTGTTAACAATATAATTTTCCTACAGTCACCTAAAAATGTACATGTTCTCTCACTGATTTGAGAAAGCAAAGTGGCCAATTCGCTCATCAGTGAGACAATGTTAACATTGTCTCACTCCAGATTTGCAACGTGAAGGCACGTTTCTCACTTTGCTCACTAGTTGCACAAATAACTATTGCACAGCAATGATAACAATGATTACACAGCACTTTCAAGTGCAATTCTTCCTCTTAAACAATAAGTACCCCGAGTTATCTTCTAAGAATTTGGCTGCGCAATTCATTTGACTTTTTTAATTATGTAAACAGCTTCTTAATGTTTACACCCCTGAAAAAATATTATGGTAACGAGTTAGCATCACTGAAACTAGTATTAAATTTGGGTTACAGCTAACATTATCTCAGTCTTTACATCTAACTAGATTCTATAGAAATACCTTACATTAAACTAACAGTTCTTTCTTTTAACGCATTGTCTTAATCCCAAAATGGTTTCTACATCTTCATTCAACAATTATAATTGTACTAGTGCACCTGTTGCTCTATTAATTGCAAAGTACAGGCGTTATTTCAAAACGAATAACAGTAATAATTTCCGATGCCTTACAAGAGTCAACTCAAAGATAATGTAATCAATCACTCCACTCAGTTGCCGAAACTGAAAACGAACTCACTCTGAACACGAACGCTCTTCTGTGTAACATGACTGTGTTTACTATGAACAGCTGTAATTATAGTTCGGCCGCTTAGAAAACGACCTGCGCGCTAATGCTAAACCAATGCTGGAGGAGGTCGCTTTCTAAGCGGCCGAACTATAGTAAAAATGCAAATTATTCGTCTGTTTCAGCATAATATACAAAATCTTATGGGATTTTGATGGCAAAGCCCGACTTTTGTTACAGTACAGGAAATGGTGAAAGGGGGTGTCTATACAAAAATACTTAATTTTGACACATCGTTTGTAAAAATCCGTCCATTACTGACGGAGGAGTTGTGTTTCGTAGAAATCGCCTACTGTATATATAAAAGGATGTTAATTGTCCCGTCCAGAAACTAGCTGATTATAAATATTTTCGTCGGTAACTTGCTCTGATTAGATTTTCTTTTGTGAAAATACCAAAGTTTTTCCCTAGGTTACTTACTACCAAGGATTACTAGGGCCTATCTGCATTGCAGTATTAGGTGCTCTGAGTATTAATTATCTTTATATATTTCGAAGGCTCCCATCCCACAACCAGCCGTGTAATACCATAGCCGTCTCTACACTGTATTCGCCAATACCAAAATTTGCCAGGTGTATTGTATTCAAGGTTTTCTGTATTTAGCATTTTTGTATCCAGCGGCATTACTCGAAATTTTCATAGTGGGTTATCAGCATAATTCTGATCAACCTCATTCAACATTTTGGTCGAAATCTGTTAAAGCTACTTCAATAACCCCACATTAAAGTCTCCAACTAGCGAGCACTCGCTGTTGTTGAGCCAACTCTTCCTTCGATTTACTTCAGATTGTTACCTTTTGTATGCTAAAACTTGAAACTATTTTTTCTCCGTCCCAGTACTTTTTATTTCACAATGAGCGAAATATGATTGGTTATCTTGACAAATACTTTATAACCTTTCCGTTCCTGATATTTATATCTCTAAAAAAGTTTATCTCTAGGAAAAATTAATGGAACAATATAACAAATTTCTGTTACCAAGCTCATTCTGTTCCAGCAAAATGCCAAATTACTCCCAAATGACCATCCTGGCAATAAATACCGAATCGACGC